CGACCTCCCGGCGCACCCTTTGCTGCTCTTCCAGTTTGGCGACGCAGGCTGGCGCCACGGGCTCCGCCGTGGAGGGCGACGCATTCCAAACCAGCGCGCCCTCGCCGCCGCACACTTCTACTCCTACCAGCTCATGCCATGCTCCGCGACTACGTCCCCGAGCCCAGCTCTCAGGACACGACTCCCTGGCCTGTGCCGCGCGCGTCGCTGCCGCACTCGGCCGGCCTCCTCTTCCAAGCGTGGCTCTGCGACGCCCGGAGCCAGGCCGAAGCAGACCGACTCGCGCGGCACGCCCAAGACCAGGATGACGTGCGCGCCGGGACGCACCAGGGCTTGCGCAGCGCCGTGAATGACCCCAACTTTAAGTCGGGCCTGTCCCCCTACAGGGGGATTTTCAACGAAAAATAGAAAAAATACCCCCAAAATAAGCAAACAAAAATAATCCAAACGTAGTCTGGGGACTGTTTTTTGAAGATGTTTGACCTTTTTCGTGCATTTTTGGGGGTATTTTTAATTTTTCGCCGAAAATCCCCATGTGGAGGGACAGGCCCGACGTGGCCCCAACTTCGCGGCTGGCGCGACACGGGTTGGGCATCGCGCGATACTGCCGCCTGCGCCTGCTGGGGGGCCCCTCGCTTGCGCCAGCGCTGCTGGGCGCCGTGGCCATCGTGGAGAAGTTCGGCAAGCCCGACTTCTTCATCGCGCTCGCTGCGAATCCCACGCGGAGGAAGATTCAGTCCGCCCGACGGCCCGGCGAAACCGCCTCTGGGCGCCCCGACGTGGTCGCACGTGCTCCCCGCATCCAGTTTCAGCATGTCCTGGACATGGTTCTCGAAGACCACGCGCTCGGCAAGGTGGTCGCGCACTGCTGGGTGATCGAATTTCAAAAGCGGGGCCCCCCTCACGCCCGCGCCCCCCTCATCGCGCAGGCCGCCGACACGCCCCGCGCCGCCGCAGACGTCGACGAGCGCATCTGCGCTGAGCTACTTGCCCCGACAACCTTGGCCAGCACGAGCCGTTGCAAATTGTTCTAGCATCTCAGATGCGTGGCCCATGCGGCATTGGGACCCCCGGGCGCCGCGCACGATCGACGGCTGCTGCTCCAAGAAGCGCCCCCGACTTTTCACGGAGGAAACCGACATGCACCGAGACGGGTGCCCTGTCTGCCGCCGACGCGAGCCCCCCCCCGAAAGCCTTCAAGAACGGCGTCTGGCCAGACGCGCGAAACGTCGCCCCCTACAACCCAAGAAACTCAAAGCGCACCTGCACGTCAAGCACTGCGGCGCCATCCGTTGCGTCGAGTACCTCTTCGAGTACGCCCGCAAAGGCCACGGCCGTGCTGCCTTTGAATTAGACGGGGGCTCCGCCAGAGACGAATTCAAGCAGTTCCTCGACGCCCGCTACGTCGGCCCCCCCAAGGCGTGCTGGCGACTTCTGTCCTTCCCCCTGCCTGGCAAGTCCCGCACCGTTGAGCGCCTCGCGGTGCACCCGCGCGGCGGCGAAACCACTGCAGTCCACGACGGTTCCGAGGCCTCAGCGGTGGCGGCGGGCAACGAGACGAGAGGCTTGCAGCCCGGCTCAATCTCGGCGCGTTCTCGCCCGACGGGTTCGACCCCCTGGCAGGGTCACTCCACTGCGCCGATGTACAGCGCTGCTTCGCTTGGAACCGCACGGCGAGATGTCGGCAGCGGAGGAGATTCACCACCCACCAAACCACCCCAACCCAACCCGAAGGCTCAGATTTACCCTCGATTTCCAGTGGGGGGGGGGTCGGGAAACATCGAAAAAACAGACGTGGAACCCTTACCCCCCCCAACCCGAAATTCGGGTCTTCGGGTTGGGTTGGGGTGGTCTGGTAGGTAGTCAGAGATCTCCCGCGTCGGGGGGCCCGCGCGCTGGGGAGAGACCCATGACGCGGCCGCGCCGACGGGGAGCCCGCGATGGCGCGCGCACTTCTTTGTGCGAGCCTCCGGCAGCTCTTGCGCGCGAGCCCCTCGGCCACGGCCGCGCTCCCCGGCGGGCCCCGGGGGCCCCCGGAATGTCCCCCGCCCTCGTCCTCCTCCTCAATCCTCCTCCTCCATCCTCCTCCTCCTCCTCCTCCTCCTCCTCCTCCTCCTCCTCCTCCTCCTCCTCCTCCTCCTCATCCTCATCCTCATCCTCCATCCTCCTCCTCCTCCTCCTCCTCCCCTCCTCCTCCTCCTCCTCCATTTTCCTCCTCCTCCTCCTCCCCCTCCTCCTCCTCCTCCCTTTTCCTCCTCCTCCTCCTCCTCCTCCTCCTCCTCCTTCTCCTCCTCCTCCTCCTCCCCTCCTCCCTTTTCCTCCTCCTCCTCCTCCTCCTCCTCCCTCCTCCTCCTCCTCCTCCTCCTCCTCCCTTGTCCTCCTCCTCCTCCGCCTCCTCCTCCTTCTCCAGGGATGCCCTTCTCCAGGGATGCCGCGGGCGGCTCTCTGAGTCGAGCGGCCGCCGTCCCAGGAGCTCCCGCCGACCGAGCCCCTGCACCCCCCCCTTCGCCGCGGCGCGCGTCGCTCGCGCTCTCGCTCGCGACCTCGCGCCCTCGCAGCGGGGGCACGCGGCCTGCCGCTCCGCGTCGCTGGCCCAGCCAGCTTCGAAGACCTCGCCGCCGTCGCTCGCGCTGACGGCGGCCAGCAAACGCATGGCGAACAACGGTGGTTCTCGGAGACGCCCTCACGGGCAGACTCCGACGCTCCAGAGGACAGGCGAGCGCGCGGAGCCCGTGGCCTCGTCAGCTCCAGCGACGAATGCGCGAAGTGCACGGGGGACGCCGCGCACCTGCGCAGCGCTGCCGCTCTGCGCCGGTCATTCGCGACGCTGTTGCTGCACTGCGAGATCGCGTCTCCCCCAACGCTGCGGCAGACGTTCCAGCGACCTCTCCGAAGACCTCGCCCGGCAGGTGGACGCGGAGGCCGGAGCCAATGCCGCCCCGCTCAGCGCACGTCCAGGAGATTGTCGGGCAGGCGGGAAAAACCTTGTGCGACTACGGCTCGCCGACGCCGGCGGACTGGAACCCAGAGACGCTCCGCGGCCGGGACCTGCTACGGGAAGCGGCCTACGATAGCATGTCCGAGGCGCGCGCGGCGCAATCGCTCCGATCACGGATGAATCCAGCTCGGGCAGCAGCTTTCGGACGTGTCGCAGAGGCCGCCGTGGCCGCCAAACACCCGCTTGCTATGTTCATCGACGGCCCTGGCGGCACGGGCGAGACTTTCGTTTGCGAAGCCATTCTTCACCATGTCCGTGGCATCAGAAACATCGCACTCCCATGTGCCTGGAGTGGGATTGCGGCAGTTTTACTTCCAGGCGGTCGCACGTGCCATTCCCGTTTTGGCCTTCGGGTGCCAGACGAGCCGCGCCTAGGTCTTGCGGAAGGCGACGATCATACTTTGGAACGAGGCCCCCATGGCCCCGCGCGAGGCCCTCGAGTGCGTGAGCGCTTTCCTGCTAGACCTCATGCAAACCGACGTCCCCTTCGGAGGGAAGATTTTTTGGCTCGGTGGCGACTTCCGCCAGGTGCTCCCGGTGATCCCGCGAGTTCCCCCTGAAGACCTCATCCAGCATTTTCTCCACCATCACTCAATCTGGCGCGCTGGGGCCGTGCAGGCGCACCACTTGAGACGCGTTTTATTCCTCATGTAGTGCCACCCGTGTTCTGTTGCTCCCTGCTTTGAAAGGAGTCCAGGGGCATGGTGTGCTCGGTATGGTGCAACAATGAGGTTGTATTTGAGACGCGTCTTTTTCCTCATCTGTGGCGTCATTTTGCTCCAAAAAAACTCGACAGAGAACGTGCGAGCCCGGGGCGACCCGCAGTGGCAGCGATGCTTGCTCGAGGTCGGCGACGGACGAGCCCCCTCTTACCCCGACATCGACCACCGGGCGATCCGCCTGCCAGACAAACATCGTCGCGCCGCCCGGCTGGTGGCCGGAGCGCTTGGCGGAGGAGGCCTTCGGAGACATCCACGCTCGGTCAGCCTGCTGCGCGGCGCCAGCCGCCGAACCCCAGGATTGGAGCTTCTTCTGTGACCGGCCCGTGCTCACACCGAAGAGCACCATGGCTGACATCCGAGGCCCGAAAACCATCACTTCATTAACTTTGGGCCCAGATTAGTGAAGTGATGCTTTTTCTTACGTAAGGACCCCGAAACTTCACTAAACCGAGCCCACGACGAAAGTCAGGGGCCGAATTGCTGCTGTGATGCCACATCGGCCTCGTATGACACGGTGAATTCGGCGGTGCTCCGGACCTTCCCTGCTGGCCAGTTGTCCACCTTCTGCAGCGCGGGCGACCACGACCCCGACGATCATGACGACGACGGCCCCTACGATGACGACGACGATTTCGACATCGACGGCGACCCCCACGACGACGACGAAGACGGCGACGGCGACGGCGACGACGACGACGACGCCGACGTCCCCGACGACGACGACGACGACGACGACGACGACGACGACGACGACGACGACGACGATGACGTCGCCGCCGCCGCCGCCGCCGCCGCCGCCGCCGCCGCCGCTCGCGGGGTGGCCCCGTGGCGTGACGATCTCTGCTCAAGCGCAGGAGTCGGGGCCGCCCTTGAGGCACTGCGGGGATGCGCGACCAGAAAGACCAGCAGAAGGAAGAGGTTCGTATCTTGTGGACTGTTTCACTTCAGGCGTATGTCGAAGATTTGCGTTGGGCAAGAATCGCTGGCCAGTCGAGCGGTACAAATTTAAGTGCTTCGCCTTGGCCAGCCCCGCGGTACAAATTTAAGTGTTTCGCCTTGCCGTGCTGCAGGCTATTGCAATGGAGGTGCAGTTTTTCGGTGCAAAAAAAAAAATTCGATGACGGTCGAAAGCGGCCGTCGTCGTCGTCGGTCCTTTTCACGATCAGCGATGCGACCAGGAGAACCGCCTCCTCTTGTCTCGCAGGCCCGCCCCACCGGCACTGCCCTCCTGTAGTTACTTCGATAGTGCTGATCCTCCTCCCACGGGTGCACACTATCAGCTACGGTGCCGGGGTTAGCGCGTGCGAGAAGGGCGGGCAGTGGCAACAGGCAGTGTCGCTGCTCAGCGAGATGCGGCAGGCGAGGATTGAGCCCGATGTCATGATCTACAGCGCTGCGATCCGCGCGTGCGGGAAATGCGGGAAGTGGCAACAGGCTCTGTCGTTGCCCAGCGAGATGCGAGCGTCGAAGGTGGAGCCTGACGTCATGTATATTAAGATACCGGGACCAGCGCGTGCGAGCTCGACGGTCGCCGACGCTCCCGGGACGGCCCTAGACCGCCCAAGATGGCCCTTGGCCTTGGAAGCTCAAGAGAGCGCCAGAAAGCCTAAAGACGAGGCGCGCCAAGGCCCAAAGCTGCCCCCGAGACTTCCCGGAGGGCCCCAGGACCAGAAAGAGACCTCCAAGACGGCCGCAGAGCACCCCCATGACGGCGATTGGCTAAAAATCAACGCTCGCTGTTTTTAAGGCTTTCGAGGTTCTCTCCATGTCGGGCCACGAAACGCTCCAGACGGCCCCGAGCAGCTCCAGACGGCTCCTGGGAGCTCCAAAATGGTTTCAGTCTCGCCCGAGACGCCTTCACCATAGCTTGTTGGACACGGCCCACAGACGCCCCAAGAGAACCCCGAGACGGGCCCATGGAGCCCCACGGGCCCCCCGAGACAGCCCCAGGACGGTCCCAAGCGGGCTCCCGCACAGCCTCGGACCCCCTCAGCCGACCCCAGGAGCCCCATAACAGCACCCCAGCGCCCCATGAGGGCCCCAGACCGCGGCAGGAGGCCCCAAGAGAGCCCCAAGACAGGCTCACAGAGCCTCACGGGCCCCCCCCCCGAGCCAGCCCCTGGACGGTTCCAAGCGGGCTCCCGCGCGGCCCCGGCCCCCCCACAGCCGACCGCAGGAGCTCCATGACAGTCCCCCAGGGCCCCATGAGGGCCCTAGACCGAGGTTCCAGGACAGCCCCGCAGAGCCCCACGAGCGTTCCAGGACAGCACGAGCGTTCCAGGACAGCCCCGCAGAGCCCCATACCAGGACAGCACGAGCGTTCCAGGACAGCACGAGCGTTCCAGGACAGCACGAGCGTTCCAGGACAGCACGAGCGTTCCATGAGGCCGGAGACTCCACGAGCGTTCCAGGACAGCCCCGCAGAGCCCCATACAGAGCCCACGCGGATGTCATCCGTGTCTGGCCGCGCCCGCGGCCCCCCATATGGGGCCCCGCCGAGGCTGGCCCGGTGGCGTCTGCGGCCCCCGATGGCGCCCAGCGGAGACTCCACGAGCGCCCTGGGACAGCCTCGCCGAGCCTCCAGACAAAGCCACATTGTTGCTTGGGCCACTGACATTCACTGGTGAGATGGACATGTTCTTCTGAGGCGTCCCGCCCGCCCCGGGCCTTAGACGGGACTTCCTTCCTTCCTTCCTTCCAGACAAAACCAACAAGGATGTCAAATGTGTGCGGCCGCGCCCGCTGGCCCCGATGGGGCTTCGCCGAGGTGACGCCGGCGGCGTCTGCGGCCCACGAGCGGGCCCGGCAGAGACTCCACGAGCGTTCCAGGACAGCCCCGCAGAGCCTCCGGAGTAAACCAACAAGGATTTCAAATTTGTGCGGCCGCGCCCGCGGCCCCCGATGGGGCCTCGCCGTGGCTACACCGGCGGCGTCATCGGCGCCCGATGGGGCCCAGCAGAGACCTCACGAGCGTTCCAGGACAGCTCCGCAGAGCCTCCGGACAAAGCCAACAAGGATGTCAAGTGTGTCCGGCCTCGCCCGCGGCCCCCGATGGGACCTCGCCGAGGCTTCACCCGCGGCGTCAGCGGCGCCCGACGCAGCCGGGCGGAGGCCCCTCGAGCGTTATAGCCCCGCAGAGCCTCCGGACAACCACGAACATGGATCCCCACGACGGCGCCGACGAGGACGACGAGGACGACGACGACGACGACGACGACGACGACGACGACGACGACGACGAAGACGCTTCGCATGCTCAACCAGAGGTTCTCTCACGCGCTCGCTGGATAATGAGCTCGGCGTTCCGCCGTCCTTGTCCGGCTGGGTTTCCTCACGACGATTGTTTTCATGCTGCAATTCGGAACGCCCTTAGACGAGCAAAGACTTTCAAATATAGATTTGCGTGTCTAAGTCTTTACTACTGGTTCACATGTCTTACGTGGTGGGCCCAGAAATCAGCAACTGTAGAGTACCTTCACCAGATGACAGCAATTTGTTTTGCACCATGTGTTGTGTCCACCGGGCCCGGAAGCCCCAAAACAAGCCCCAGACCCCACACCAGGCCCTATAGATCGTTCCGACCTGCCCCAGACCCACTCAAGAACTTTCGGATCGTGGGCCCCCCTCCAGCCCTGGATCAGGAAGCCCTCAGACAATCACCCCTGTTGTAGCATTCGTCGGGTGCCCCCTGGACGGCCGTACGGAACCCCTGTTGGCTCCTCCTTGGGCCCTGTCGGGCCACACTAGGAGCCTTTCCGGCTCTTTTGAAGCAGGCGCACAAAACCGCAAGAGGCCTTTAAGACGCTCCAGACAGGCTCGCAGGAGCGCCCAACATGCCCCCGACACGGCCCCAGGGACGCCCGAGCTGTTCAACTCAGACGAGCTGTTCACCCACGGCATGCGAACCCCAGGCTCAGCACACCGTGGATGTAATCCACGGGTTCGCGCTGGTCTCTCCTACATGGCGGGCGGAAGCGCGTGCCAGAAGGGTGGGCACTCGAGTGCATACAATCACCCCTCCACGGCCCCACCACGGGGTAGAATCGCCCGCGACAGCGCAGGAGGCGCCCCAGAAGGGTTGTAAGACGGTCCAAGAGCGCTCCAAGATGGCCTCAGTTGGTGCCGAGACGGGCCTTGACGCTCCAAAGACTTCCGAAGGTGCTTGCAAGACCGTCCAAGAGGTCCCAAAGACGTTCCGAGAGGGCCCCGAGAGGACGCCGAACAGGCAAACATGGTCACATTCCTGTGGGGAAGAAGCGTACATTTTCAGCATATCCGCCTTTTGCGTTGTTACACGGTCCAGGACAGGCCAAGAGGCCTCCCAAAACCACCCAAGACTACCCAAGCGGCCCCCAAGAGGGCCTCAAGACGGTCCAAGAGGGCCCCAAAATTGCCCAAGGGGGCCCTCAGACGGCCTGAGAGGGCACCAGGACGGCTCCAAGGGGGTTCTAAGAGGGCCCGACGAGGCTCCCAAGAGGGCCCCAGGAAGCCCTCCAGAGAGCCCCAAGACGGTCCAAGACCTCCAAGACGCCCCAAAGACTTCAAAAGGTGGCTCCAAGGCGGTCCAAGAGGCCCCAAAGACGCTCCGAGAGGGCCCCGAGAGGAGGCCAAAGAGACACAAATGGCCACATTCGCTTGGGAAAACGTGCATTTTCAGCACATCCGCGTTTTACGTTGTTATACGGTCCAGGAGAGACCAAGAGGCCTCCCCCAAACCCCCAAGACGCCCCAAGCGGCCCCCAAGAGAGACCCAAGACGGTGCAAGAGGGCCCAAAGACGGCCCAAGGGGGCCCTCAAACGGCCTGAGAGGGTCCCAAGACGGCTCCAAGAGGGCTCCAAGAGGGCCCGACGAGGCTCCCAAGAGGGCCCCAGGAAGCCCTCCAAAGAGCCCCAAGGCGGTCCAAGGCCTCCAAGACGCCCCAGAGACCTCAGAAGGTGGCTCCAAGACGGTCCAAGAGGCCCCAAAGACGCTCCGAGAGGGCCCCGAGAGGGCGCCAAACAGGCACACATGGTTTCCTCATTGTGGGAAAACGTACATTTTCAGCATATCCGCCTTTTGCGTTGTTACACGGTCCAAGACCAAGAGGCCCCCAAAAAACCCAAAGACGACCAAAGCGGCCCCCAAGAGAGCCCCAAGATGGTGCAATATGGCCCAAAGACGGCCCAGGAACGGCCCCAAAGGGCCCCTGAAGGGCTCCAAAAAGCCCCCCATAAGGACCACTGAGAAGGCACACAGACGCAAAGTAAAAGAGCGATCGGTACAGTAAAAAGCTTTTCAATCCAAGGCCCCCAAGAGCGAACGGTGACACAGTAAGCTCTTCAACCCGAGGCTCCCGAGAGCGAGCCGCAACGTTAAAAACTCTGAAACTGGAGCCCGAAGCTATCATCATCCCCTCAATTCTGGGACAAGTGCGTGGGCCAATCGCTTTCTCGGCCTCCAGCGGCGTCGGCACTGCCTCCGGGTCCCTGTGGGCTCTGGGGTCCCCAAGACGTCGCAGAGACAGCCTTCGGTAATGTCGAGATGGCCAGAATTGGCCCCGACAGCCGCCAGCCAGGGCCCCCGAGGGATTTCAAGCGGTTCCAAGAGGCCTCCAAAAGGCCCCTAGACGCCCCAAGAGGCCTAGCAGTAATTGTCCAGAAGACCACGGCATCTGCAGAGCTTTCGAACACCCACAGGAAGATGTATGTCTTTTGCTTCGCAGGCTTTTCGACGCGAGACAGTTCCAAGACGGCTTCGGGGGTTAACTCTTGGCCTCCTTGCGGGCCACCTTGGGCCCTCTGGGGGCCCCTATCGAGCCTCCTGGGTTGTTTTCGTTGCTTCCTTGGGCCGTCTCGGTCCGTCTTCGCGCCGTCTTAAGGCCCTCTGGGCGGTCCTTGACTGCCTCAAGAGAGCCCGAGGGCGGCCCCTGAGGGCTCCCAGAATATTAAAGAAGGCTTCGGAGAGCTTCCAGACGGCCCGACACGCCCTCCAGAGAGCGCCACGACGCCCCAACAGACCTCCAGAGAACCCCGAGACGGCCCAGGACGGCCCCAAGAGGGCCCAGCGAGGCCCCCAATAGTTTGGGCCATAGGGCCCCCTGGCACGGCCTCCATATCCAGCAGCACACAAGCCAGCAGCGGCAGCAATAGGTAGCTAGCAGCAGGAAAAAAAGGAGCCGCTGCATTGCCCGCGGCTGGCTGGCGGCCATCCCCGCTGCCGTAACGTGCGGCAGAGGGTCAGTTGCGACCGCCAGGCCTGCCAGCATGCAGGCAGTGACGTGGGGAAAACAACTGTCTGGCTACCAGCTATGCGCACAAAACAGCAGGCAAGCAGGCAAACGATCTCAGCTTCTGCACGCGGGCAAGCTGTCGTGGACGTAAGTCCACGGATCAGCTCTAGTCAGCTATAACGCTGGGATCAGCGCGTGCGAGAAGGGCGAGCAGTGGCAGCGGGCGCTGGCGCTGCTGAGCGAGATGCGGGAGGCGAAGCTGGAGCCCAACGTCATCAGCTACAACGTTGGGATCAGCGCGTGCGAGAAGGGCGAGCAGTGGCAGCCAGCGCTGACGTTGTTGAGCGAGATGTGGGAGGCGAAGCTGGAACCCGACGTTATCAGCTACAGCGCTGTGATCAGCGCGTGCGAGAAGGGCGAGCAGTGGCAGCGGGGGATGGCGCTGCTGAGCGAGATGTGGGAGGCGAAGCTGGAGCCCAACGTCATCAGCTACAACGCTGGGATGAGCGCGTGCGAGAAGGGCGAGCAGTGGCAGCGGGCGCTGGCGTTGCTGAGCGAGATGTGGGAGGCGAAGCTGGAGCCCGACGTCATCAGCTACAGCGCTGTGATCAGCGCGTGCGAGAAAGGCGAGCAGTGGCAGCGGGCGCTGGCGCTGCTGAGCGAGATGCGGGAGGCGAAGCTGGAACCCGACGTCATCAGCTTCAACGCTGGGATCAGCGCGTGCGAGAAGGGCCGGCAGTGGCAGCGGGGGATGGCGCTGCTGAGCGAGATGTGGGAGGCGAAGCTGGAGCCCAACGTCATCTCTCCTACATGGCGGGCGGAAGCGCGTGCCAGAAGGGTGGGCACTCGAGTGCATACAATCACCCCTCCACGGCCCCAACACGGGGTAGAATCGCCCACGACGGCGCAAGAGGCGCCCCAGAGGGGTTGTAAGACGGTCCAAGAGCCCTCCAATATGGCTTCAATTGGTGCCGAGACGGGCTTTGACGCTCCAAAGAGCTCCGAAGGTGGCTGCAAGACCGTCCAAGAGGTCCCAAAGACGTTCCGAGAGGGCTCCGAGAGGACGCCAAAGATGCAAGAATGGTCACATTCCGATGCCAAAAAACAAACGTACATGTTCAGCATATGCGCCTTTTGCGTTGTTGCACGGTCCAGGACAGACCAAGAAGCCACCCAAAACCGCCCAAGACGACCAAAGCGGCCCCCAAGAGGGCCCCAAGGCGGTCCAAGAGGGCCCAACAACTGCCCCAGAGGGCCCTCAAACGGCCCGAGAGGACCCCAAGAGGGCTCCAAGAGGGCCCGAAGAAGCTCCTCCCAAGAGGGCCCCAGGAAGCCCTCCAGAGAGCCCCAAGACGATACAAGGCCTCCAAGACACCCCAGAGACCTCAGAAGGTGGCTCCAAGACGGTCCAAGAGGCCCCAAAGACGCTCCGAGAGGGCCCCGAGAAGACGCCAAATATGCAAAAATGGTCACATTCCGATGGGGAAACGTACATGTTCAGCATATGCACCTTTTGCGTTGTTACACGGTCCAAGACAGACCAAGAGGCCCCCAAAAACCCCAAAGACGACCAAAGCGGCCCCCCAGAGAGCCCCAAGACGGAGCAATATAGCCCAAAGACGGCCCAGGAACGACCCCAAAGGGCCCCTGAAGGGCTCCAAAAAGTCACCCACAAGGATCACTGAGAAGGCGCACAGACGCAAAGTAAAAGAGCGATCGGTACAGTAAAAAGCGTTTCAATCCAAGGCTCCCAAGAGCGAACGGTGACACAGTAAGCTCTTCAACCCGAGGCTCCCGAGAGCGAGCCGCAACGTCAAAAACTCTGAACATGGAACCCGCAGCTATCATCATCCCCTCAATTCTGGGACAAGTGCGTGGGCCGATCGCCTTCTCGGCCTCCAGCGGCGTCGGCACTGCCTCCGGGTCCCTGCGGGCTCTGGGTCCCCAAGACGTCGCAGAGACAGCCTTCGGTAATGTCCGAGATGGCCAGAATTGGCCCCGACAGCCGCCAGACAGGACCCCCGAGAGGTTTCAAGCGGTTCCAAGAGGCCTCCAAAAGGCCCCCAGACGCCCCAAGAGGCCTAGCAGGAATTGTCCAGAAGACCACGGCAATTGCAAAGCTTTCCAACACCCAAAGGAAGATGTATGTCTTTTTCGTGCCTCCATCGAGCCTCCTGGGTTGTTTTCGGGGCTTCCTTGGGCCGTCTCGGTCCGTCTTCGCGCCGTCTTAGGGCCCTCTGGGCGGTCTTTGACTGCCTCAAGAGAGCCCAAGGGCGGCCCCAGAGGGCTCCCAGAATATTAAAGAAGGCTTCGGAGAGCTTCCAGACGGCCCGATACGCCCTCCAGAGAGCGCCACGACGGCCCAACAGACCCCCAGAGAACCCCGAGACGGCCCAGGACGGCCCCAAGAGGGCCCAGCGAGGCCCCCAATAGTTTCGGCCATAATTAGTCGTAAGCAGCAGAAAACAAGCAGCCGCTGCATTGCCTGCGGCTGGCTGGCGGCCATCCCCGCTGCCGTGGCGTACGGCAGAGGGTCAGTTGCGACCGCCAGGCCTGCCAGCATGCAGGCAGTGACGTCGGGAAGACAATTGTCTGGCTACCAGCTATGCGCGCAAAACAGCAGGCCACTGATCTCAGCTTCTGCACGCGGGCAAGCTGTCGTGGACGTAAGTCTACGGGTCAGCTCTAGTCAGCTACAACGCTGGGATCAGAGCGTGCGAGAAGGGCTGGCAGTGGCAGCGGGCGCTGGCGCTGGTGAGCGAGATGTGGGAGGCGAAGCTGGAGCCGCACGTCATCTTCTCTACAATGCGGGGACCCGTGCGTGCGGGAAGGGTCCCTGTCTTGATCGCCTGAAAATACCCCACAACGGCTCCAGGGACGCCCCAGAGGCGCTCACGCGGCCCAAGAGGCGCCCAGGACGGCCCCAGACACCCCCAAAACGGCCCAAGAGCGCTCCAAGAGAGCTCAAGACCGCCGAAAACAACCCCGACAAGGCCCAGGAGGCCTCCACGACGGCCCCAGAGACGCCCAAGAGGCGTCCCAGGATGGCCCCCACAGGCCCAAATCATTGTTTTTCCAACGAAAGACGTCCAATTTTAGCACACACTGCTTGTCGGGAATATGGCGCACAAGATGGGACAAGAGGTCCCCACGACCGCCCCAAGACGGCCCAAGAGGCCCCCCGGAGGCACGAAAACCGGCCCGAGAGAGCGTCAAGAGACCCAAGAGGCGCCCAACACGGCCCCCAGGCGGCCCCAAGAGGCTCCCAGGAGGCGCCCAGGACGGCCCCACACACCCCCAAGACGGCCCAAGAGCGCTCCAAGAGAGCCCAAGACCGCCGAAGACAAACCCAAGACGGCCCAGGAGGCCTCCACGACGGCCCCAGAGACGCCCAAGAGGCGTCCAAGGATGGCCCCCAGAGGCAAAAATCATTGTTCCCCCCCCCCTCCAAAAAAAACGCTCACTTTTAGCATGCGCTGCTTGTCGGGAATATGGCGCAGAAGCTGGTTCCAGGTCCCCACGACCGCCCCAAGACGGCCCAAGAGACCCCCAAGACGCACGAAAACCGGCCCGAGAGGGCGTCAAGAGAGCCCAAGAGGCGCCCAAAACGGCCCCAGGGCGACACCAAGAGGCTCCCAGGACGGCCCAAGTGTCCCCAAGACGCTCCAAGAGCGCTCCACGACCAGCCAAGACTGCCTTTTGCGGCGCCATGACGGCCCCAGAGACGCCTCTACGACGGCCCACGAGACGCCGAAGAGGCTTCCCAGGAGGGCCCCAGGAGGCCACAATTATCGCTTTCCCGACGGAAGCCGTACACATGTCAGCATCTCCGGCTTTCCGGGTTTCATGGCGTAGACGACAGCCCAAGAGGCCCCCAACACCGGCCCAGGAGGCTCCCACAGGGGATCCGCACCGGCCCGACGGAGCGTCAAGACATGTAGCCCGGCAGGGCCGCAATACGGCCCCCAGAGCTTCCCAACACGGCCCAAGGTTCCCCCAAGACGGCCCCAGAGCGCTCCAAGAGGTGTCGAAGATAGCGGGGCGAGGCACCAGTGTGCCATTTCAGGGGCCTCCCTGAGCTCCTGCTCCTCCTCCTCCTCCTCCTCCTCCCACCCTCCTCCCCCTCCTCCTCCTCCTCCTCCTCCTCCTCATCCTGCTGCTGCCCCTCCTCCTCCTCCTCCTCCCCCTCCTCCTCCTCCTCCTCCTCCTCCCCCTCCCCCCTCCCCTCCCCCTGCTCCTCCTCATCCTCCTCCTCCTCCTCCTCCTCCTCCTCCTCCTCCTCCTCCTTCTCCTTCTCCTCCTCCACCCTCCACCTCCTCCTCCTCCTCCTCCTCCTCCTCCTACTCCTCCAACTTCTTTCCACTCACCCCGCTTGCGAGAGCCCCCGAAACAGCACGCCACGAGGTCCTCAGAGGCCCCCAAGAAGCCCAAAGCAAGCCCCACGAGGCCCCAAGACGGCCCCCAAGAGGCCCCAAAGCTGCCCCCAAGAGGGACCCCAGAGGCCTCTGAGCCACTACCCAGGCACAGGCACGGGTGTGCTTCCACTGACACCGCCTCCACCGCCTTCCTGCCTTCAGGCCTGCTTGCCTGCATCCCTCGCCCACCCTCACCTCTAACGGCCACCTCCTCCATCCACGCCGTCCCCTCCAACCACCCCTTCCCCGCGAGGCCCCAGGGACGCTTCTCTTCCACGTCCACGCCATGGCGGGCAGATTCCGCGGCCGGAAGGCCGCGGGTCAGCCCCAGTCTTCTGTACAACAATTCCGGGCGAAGCGCGCGCGAGAAGTACAAGCAGTGGCAGCGCCCCGGGCAGCCCAGAGAGCTCGCGGGCCGCCCGGAGAGCCTCCGGGCCGCTGCCCGACGGGCCCGGGAGGCCCCCGGACCGCTCGCGGACTGATCCAGGATTCCCAGATCGCCCCAAGACGGCCTCAGGAGGTCCCGAAGACGGCCCAAGACGGTCTAAGAGTTATCCGAGACGCTTACGATGGCTTCAAGACGCCTTCAAGACGGCCCGAGACGCCTCCACGAGGCCCCCAGAGCGCTCGAAGTGCACCTCCAAGAGGGGCCGCAGAAGCCAAAATCGTTGATTTTCTTAGATTTGTTCAATGTTTCTGGCCTTCTCGCTTTTTCGGCTGTCCGACGCTCCAAGGCCGCTCAAGAGGCCCCCAAGACCGTTCCAAGACGGCCCAAGAGGCCTTCAAGACGGCCCCAAGACGGCCCAAGAGGGCCCCAAGACAGCTCAAGAGTCGCCCAAGACGGCCCAAGAGGGCCCCAAGAAGGCCCCAAGAGAGGCCCAAGACAGGGACCCAGAACCGAAAAATCGAGGCCTCCACCCCAAAAGGCCCCCAGGAAGCCCCAAGACGCCCCAAAGAAACGCCGGGACGCTCCCAAGACTTCCCCAGGAGGCCCCCGGACGCCCCACAGAGGCTCCAAGAGGCCCCCCAGAGGCCGCCAAGCGCCCTAAAAGGCTCCCCATAGGCCCCCAAACAGGACCCAAGAGGCCCCATGACGCCCCCAAACTGCTACCAAGAAGCCCCCAAACTGTCTCCCAGAGGCTCCCGAGAGACCAACCACGAGATCCCAACCAACATCCACGAGATCTCTTGCCCATTACCCAGGCCCGCGGCGAGATTACCCGCAGGCCACTACAGCCGGTTCGGGGGCCCTACGTATCCCAGCACCCGCACCCTTGGCTGTATCGATGCAGAGTCCTGCGGGGCCGAAACCTCGGGAAACTCAGATCGTCTTGGGCGGTGTCCAAGGCCTTGGGATAGGTGTGGGGGCCAATCCTGGCGC